AAACTGTAGCACAATAAAAGAACTCTACTAATGAGCAATCTGGGTCTCAACGAAGTTTGATTTTTTTTTTAAGTTTGTTCGTCAGTAGAGTCAGATTTTACATATTTTCTAACCCTTTCATTATTATGAGGACTCTACTGACGAGCAAATTAAAAAACAAAACTGTAGCACAACAAAAGGACTCTACTAATGAGCAAACTGGGTTTCAACGAATTTTTTTTAAGTTTTTTCGTCAGTAGAGTCAGATTTTACATATTTTTTAATCCTTGCATTATTATGAGGACTCTACTGACGAGCAAATTAAAAAACAAAACTGTTGCACAACAAAAGGACACTACTAATGAGCAAACTCGGTCTCAAAAAAGTTTGAATGTTTTTTTAAGTTTGCTTGTCAGTAGAGTCACATTTTACATATTTTTTAATCCTTGCATTATTATGAGGACTTTACTGACGAGCAAATTAAAAAACAAAACTGTAGCACAACAAAAGGACTCTACTAATGAGCAAACTGGGCCTCAACAAACTTTTTTTCTGAATTTTGCTCGTCAGTAGAGTCTCATTTTACATATTTTTTAATCCTTACATTATTATAATAATTTGCAGAATTTTTATGTTTTTGTTTTATTTTCAGGTAAGCAATAATGACTCTGTACATGCATGTGATTGTCTAGTTTTCAACGAGCTCTGCAGGACGCAATGTAAGTTATTTTGAAATATTTTTACTAAAATTCTGAAAGGAAATTATTTTAAATTACAAAATGGAAAGTAGACTGTACTGATGATCAAACTGCAAAACAAAAAAAGAATTCAATAGAAAAGGGACTCTACTGTCGAGCAAACTATAATACAAGGGATAAGATAAAAAAGGGACTCTACTGACGAGCAAAATTAAGACGAAAAACAAAAGAAAAAGGGACTCTACTGACGAGAAAACTAAAATACAAGGCATAAAATTAAAAAGGGACTCTACTGACGAACAAAATGGAAAAGAAACAAAAAAAAGGGACTTGACTCGAAAGGGCAAATTTAAATACAAGGCCTCAAATACAGAAAAAGACTCTACTGACTATATAAGCTTAAATATTAGATAAAAAAAAATTAAGAAAGGACTCTACTGACGAGCAAACTGAAACACAAAACAGTTGTACAATAAACTGACTGACTTAATAAGCAAATTTAATTATAAGCAATAATATTAAATAAATTGATTTATAAAATGAGTAGCGAGATAAGAAAAAAAAGTTCTACAAATGAGCAAATTGAGTTGCAACTTGGAAAATATTAAAAGGACTCTACTGACAAACAAACTTAAATAAAGTATTCATAAAAAATTAGAGATTTTTAAATAATATTGAACACAAATTTTTCTAAAACATAATGAATAAAATGAAGGAAAGGACTTTACTGACGAGCAAACTGATCAAAAATGTCAAATTAAAAAAAGGACTCTACTTACTCGCAAATATATAAATATATATGTTCTATAAACTATTTTTGTTAAAATTAAAGATCTTTATGTATTATTAAACACATTTTTTCTGGAATATCATGAATAAAATGAAGAAAAGGACTCTACTGACGAGCAAACTGATCAAAAATGTCAAATTGAAAAAGGACTCTACTGACGCGCAAATATATAAATATATCTGTTCTATAAATTATTGTTGTTAAAATTAAAGATCTTTTGTATTATTGAACACAATTTTTTCCTGGAATATCATGAATAAAATGAAGAAATGGACTCTACTGACGAGCAAACTGATCAAAAATAGAGATTCAAAAATTCTACTGACAAGCAAATGCATTAATATCTGTTTTATAAATTGTTTTTTAAATTAAAGATCTTTTGTATTATTGAACACAATTTTTTCCTGGAATATCATGAATAAAATGAAGAAATGGACTCTACTGACGAGCAAACTGATCAAAAATAGAGATTCAAAAAAAAATTCTACTGACAAGCAAATGCATTAATATCTGTTTTATAAATTGTTTTTTAAATTAAAGATCTTTATGTATTATTGAACACATTTTTTTTGAAATATCATAAATAAAATGAAGAAAAGAACTCTACTGACGAGCAAACTGATCAAAAATGTCAAATTAAAAAAAGGATTCCACTGACGCGCAATTATATAAATATATCTGTTCTATAAATTATTTTTGTTCAAGTTAAAGACCTTTTTGTATTATTGAACATAATTTTTTTCTGGAATATCATGAATAAAATAAAGGAAAGGACTCTACTGAAAAGCAAACTGATCAAAAAGGACTCTACTGACTCGCAAATATATAAATATATATGTTCTATAAACTATTTTTGTTCAAATTAAAGATCTTTATGTATTATTGAACATAATTTTTTTCTGGAATATCATGAATAAAATGGAGAAAAGGACTCTACTGACATGCAAACTGATCAAAAATGTCAAATTAGAAAAGGACTCTACTGACAAGTAAATATATAGATATCTGTTCTATAAATTATTGTTTTTCAAATCAAAGATCTTTATGTATTATTGAACACATTTTTTTTTCTGGTATATCATGAATAAAATTAAGAAAAGAACTCTACTGACGAGCAAATTGATCAAAAACAAAAATTCAAAAAATTGACTCTACTGACAAGCAAGTATATAAATATATCTGTTTTATAAAATATTGTTTAAGTAAAGTTTGACGTTACGTATATATTAAGTTAAATTTACCCATGTGTAGAAATATGGATCTGTCTATATGTGTTTGTATGTAATCTTGCCTCCTACAATTTATTATAATCCAGATCATCCCGATCGTGATCTCAACTAAAGCAAAAAAAAACACAAATGTCTGTTGGAACAAATACAGAATCATTAATCAAAAAGCAGAGCATTCTGAGAGCAGAAAGCAAAACATATGGCGAGCAAAGATAATATGCAAAATGTTTAGCATTTCGAAAGATGGTCACATAGGATAAGAGTGGTGACTGGCGACGGATTTAGACACTCCTTTAGGAGGAATGTTGTACTAAGAAATATAAAAAGTTTTGCTGAAAAAATACTAGAAATTGAAATAATAATAATCTCTAACAAAGGCCATGAAAAACCATGCCAGACACTTCCAAATTTGATTGATCTTTACCTGGGTATCAACAAAACTAACAAATTCCCAGCCAAAAACCAAAAATAAAAACAATTATGAGTGTATACGTATATGTAATACAAAATTCGTTTTTTTTTTCGTCGATTTTTCTCAAAAATCTTTGAACCGATTTTAAAAATTTAAGAGCCATCTGTTTAAAGTTCGATAGGGTTAAAAAAGTTATTTTTTTCAAGCGTTTCATAAATATAAATTTGCAAATTTTGTGTAAAATTTGCGACAGATTTAGACACTCCTTTGGGACGAGGAATTCTGTACTAAAAATATATATATTTGCAGAAAAATACTGGAAATTGAAATAATAATAATAATCTCTAACAAATGCCATGAAAAACCATGCCAGGCATGCAAATTTGATTGATCTTCACCTCGGTATCAACAAAATTGGCAACTTTCCAGCCAAAAACTTCCACAATGCTGATAGACAATGATGACATCTAACCATTAAAGTCATCATCAATGCACACCGAATGGTTTTTAAATCATGAAAATCGGACGAACCGTTCTCGAGATATCTTAGAATTCCATTTTATTACCAACAGCAACTTGCCACTAGGCATAAAAATAGTTTTTCGACGATAACTCGTAAACGAGTTGTCCGATTTGGATAATCTAAAAACCATTGGATGTGTATTGATAATGTCTTTAATATAGAATGTGTGCAAATTAGCAAGTTTACATAAAAAAAATTTAGGAATGTTGATGGACAAGTAAGGACATCATCAATTTCTTTCATATATACATAACGATTTGATTTATATTGATGATAACTTCACACCAATGTGATGTCATCATCAATACACACCGAATGGTTTTTGAATCATGAAAATCGGACGAACCGTTCTCGAGATATCTTAGAATTCCATTTTATTACCAACAGCAACTTGCCACTAGGCATAAAAATAGTTTTTCGACGATAACTCGTAAACGAGTTGTCCGATTTGGATAATCTAAAAACCGTTCGATGTGTATTGATGATATCTTTAATATAGAATATGTACAAATTGTCGACTTCAAATAAAAATATTGGTGGACAAATAAGGACATCATCAACTTCTTTCACGATTGGATGTGCGTTGATGAAAACTTCTTCAGTGTAAAGTCATCATCAATACACACCAAATGTTTTTTAAATCACCAAAATCAGACAAGCCGTTTTCGAGATATCTTAGAATTTCAATTCATATCCAACAGCAACTTGCCACTAGGCATATAAATAGTTTTTTGACGATAACTTCTGAACGCGTCTTCCGATTTGGACGATCTAAAAACCATTCGATGTGTATTGATAATATGTTAAATATAGAATATGTACAAATTAACAACTTTACATAAAAAAATTAGGGATGCTGAGGGACAAGTAAGGATATCATCAATTTCTTTAATATATACAAAATAATTCGATGTGGGTTGTTGATAACGTTACCATTGTGAAGTCATCATCAATGCACACCGAATGGTTTTAAATCACTAAAATCGAACGAACCGTTCTCGAGATATCTTTAAATTTCAATTTATTTCCAACAGCAACTTGCCATAGGCATATAAATAGTTTTTTGATGATAATTTGTGAACGAGTTGTCCGATTTGGATGATCTAAAAACCATTCGATGTGTACTGATGATGCCTTAATGCACAATTAGCAACTTGCCAATAGGTAGCCAAAATAAGTCTACAAACTTATTGATCATAAATATATATTTTGGATCGGTTTTAAATTCAACATATAATACTTAAATCAATACATTTGAATGCCACGACCACAACATAACGATAAACGTGTTAAACGCAAAAATTTTCGAACTCGCCTTAGAAGTTTAACTTCAAATGTTTTTCAGAGCAATTTGATTCAATAAACGTATCAAATATCGATGATAATATTTTGGAACAGGATTAAGAGATTCTAATGGATCAAACTACATATTTGATTAAAACTATCTTCACACTGGTCAACAAAATTGCTAACTTCACATTAAACTATAAAAATCAAATTTCTTCGATATCTCATGAACGGTTTGACCGATTTTGATTATTCAAAAACTATTCGATGTGTATTGATGATACCTTTATATTACTAATAGGTATAGATTTAATTTAGCCTATTACTTGATATTTGATATTAACTAATATATTACTATTTAGCATCCAATTTAAATCTATTATAATCCTCTCTCGCGTTCGTTTATTATTTCTGCGTATTCACTTGCGGGCAATAAATCATGTTCGGACAATCGTTTATTTTGCCCAAAATGCCATTTTAAAGCTGTCCCCATTGTTACCAACACTACATATGTTATTCGAGCTGAAATTATAGCTATTGTTATTGCTATATTGCTAATCCTGGCTGGCTGGCTGGTTTTTGTGGAATGCATTAAAATTATATACATTTTGTTTTATATGATTTATAGGTTATGATGCAACTTGAATGGTAAATGTATTTTTTGTGCTTGTGGACTGAAAAATTTAATTATGTAAATTTTTAGTCAACTAGAAGTTTATAGAATGAAGTTTATAATATTCTATATAATATATAAGTTTATAGTATTTAAGATATTATCAT